AGCCAAAAGAATTGCAATTTGGGATCTGCATGATATGGCAAACCATAGGCAAATCGGGAAAAGAAGGAGATGACCTGCTTTTATAGAGAAAAGGAGGAGTGGAAGGGGCTGTTCTAGAGGAAAGTCCATTGGAGGAAAGTAGCAGTTCAGGGCGGCAACGCTTCTCATTGGCTGAGCTACAGCATTTCTCATTGGCTGAGCTGTGGCATTTCTCACTGGCTGAGCTGCAGCATTTCTCATTGGCTGAGCTGCAGCATTTCTCATTGGCTGAGCTGTGGCATTTCTCATTGACTGAGCTACAGCATTTCTCATTGGCTGAGCTGCAGCATTTCTCATTGGCTGGGCTGTAGTGTTTCTCATTGGCTAAGCTGTGGCATTTCTCATTGGCTGAGCTACAGCATTCCTCATTGGCTGAGCTGTGGCGTTTCTCATTGGCTGAGCTACAGCATTCCTCATTGGCTGAGCTGTGGCGTTTCTCATTGGCTGAGCTACAGCATTTCTCATTGGCTGAGCTGTGGCGTTTCTCATTGGCTGAGCTGCGATGTTTCTCATTGGCTGAGCTGTTCCGGGGTAGGGAGAGAAATCTTCCTTTGGTAGCAAAGTAGTTTTACTTCCTCTGGAAGATGCAAGGAGTGCTTCTCTTCCTGTTTGGTGTAATTGATGATGTGTGGTAGGGTGTGACAGCTCCCCTTACAGGGCTTCTAATTCCAATTTAGTTAGGGTTTGTGTTATTAGTTTCACAACTCCAATCTTTGCCTGTCTTCACATGGCTTTCTCCCCTTTCTGTTTCAAATCTCTCTTCCTCTTCTAAAGACACTTGTCATTAGATTTAGGGTCCTCCTTAATCCAAGATGATCTCATCTTGAGGTCCTTACCTCAATTACATCTGCAAAGACCCTTTTTCCAAATAAAGTCACATTCTCAGATTCTGGTGGATAAATCTTTTTTTTTTTTTTTTTTTGAGTGGGGAGGGCATTCAACCCATCACAGGGGTAAGAGAGGATGCCCAGGGAAAACTCCTGGGGTGTCAGGAGGGGATGCTTGAACCTGGTTTTTGGGGATGAGTTTGAACTTGTAGAGGGAGTTTAAAAGGGAGTAGAAACTCTGACACACTGAAAAAAAGTGATTGTGACTTTTGGATGCTGCAAATGTGTTGGCCAAGAAAGGTCTTGTTTTCCAGTTCACAGCAGCTTTGTCTCTCCCATGAAGCTCTCAGATTCTCAAGGCCTTGACTCTGATATGGGTCTTCTGAGTCTTTCCGTGTCATCCTCACCAAGACTGGGACAAGCTGGGAGGAGGACCTGTGACAGGCACATGTAGAACATCTTGGAGCTGAGAGGGATGTAGAGGCCATCTTCCTTCTACTCCTGTCTCCAAAAGCATCTTTACTGCCTTGGCACATCCTCCTGGCAGCCCTGAGAACGAGGCAGGGCAACCAATATTATCATTCCCATTTTGCAGATTGCACAACCGAGGCCCAGAGACGGGAAGCAGCTTGCTCACAGGATACAGCAGGTCTTCTTCACCCCCACCAGCTCCTCCCCAGCGCCCCCCCCCCGGAGACCTATGGGAACTCTCCCAAGGGAAGGACTGGGGAGACCAGCCTGGGGAGTCTGTTCCAGGAACCTCAGAGCAGACCAGCTCTAGGCCCCAGTGCTAAATGGGTGTGAGTTCAGGGTCACAGGAAGAATCTGGGAGCCAAGCCAGGACAGCTCAGCTGCTCCCTGGGCTCTCTGGGGAGCTGAGGGGGGAAAAGGGGGAAAAGCTGGCCACAGGCTCGCCTGCCCGTCTGGGCTGTGCTGGATGATGTCATTTTTGGCAAGTGATCCCCATATGTTCCCCAGACCTCAGCCAGGTTGTCCTCAAACAGGAAGGTGGATTCCTTGAGAGGCTAGGAAAAGAAGATCAATGAGGAGGTGTCCCTGGAGGGTGGAGCTGGGGACCCTGGGGCGTCAGGAAGGATGTGAACAGACGTGGAAAGATGTGCTCCACTTTCTGGAAGGCAAGGTGGTTGAGAGCAGGGCTCGGAGTTAGAGCAGCCTGGATGCGCGTTGGCCATTAGCTGACTGGGTGACGTTAGCCTCACGTCCTCATCTTTATGGTGGGAGTAACAGCAGTACCACTCCTGGGGGGTGGTGGGGTGGGGAGGTGTGAGCCAATACAATTAAAACACTCAGTGTAGGGTGTGGGCACCAATCAATTGTTATTTATTATAAAGAACTAAAACCAATATAAAGTGTTTAAGGAAATCCCAGCGTTTGGCATAGGCTGAGTGCTCAAATAAACGTTAGCTATGTGTATACGCATTCTGAGGGAGGGGTTTTACCCCCAGTAGAGAGATGAGGAAACTGGGAGTTAAAGAAGCAAAATTCTTGCCTGTGTCGCCCTTGACCTGCACTTGAACCCACTTGAACTGGGGAGACAAGTGGGCAGGATGCACTGGTCCTCTGGCCTTCTTGGTCCCTCCTAACTTCCCAGGCAAAGGCCATTGTAGGAAGGAAGCCTGAGAAATAATAGTAATAACAGCAGCAACAGGAATAATAACAATAATGGCATAACGCTTACCCTGTATCAGGTCCCATTCGAAGTACGTGTGACACTTAATCCTCACTGCCCTTCCATGAGTTTGAAACTTATGATCACGCCCATTTTACGGATAAAACAGCTGAAGGGCAGAGAGGATAACTGACTTGTCCAAGGTCACAGGGAGTTCATGCAGACCCAGGATTTGGATGCTGGCAGCCTGGCTGGGCCCGAGTATGCCCGTGACTCCTCTGCTGGACTGGGGACGGAGAGGGGCTCAGGACAGGAGAGATGTGTGTCAGGACAGAGCGGAGGCTGAGGGCAAACCTGTGATGGGGCCCCCTCCAGGGAGGTCCCAGGGGGTAGAGTGAGGGGAACACACCAACAATGATTCGCTCAATTCCTGGTGGGGTGACGGGGGAAGGGTGGACAGACAGACATGCCCAGAGGATGTCAGTGCCACCCTATGCTGGCCCAGCCTGGACCCGCTCAAAGTTGAAAGGCCATGGCCTTTGACTCCGAGCTGCTCCCAGCCCAGCAGGAGAGCCAGACATGATGTCATCTGTGTCTGTCGCGTCTCTGCAGACACCACATGCAGAGTGTTGGGTCCTGAGACCCTGCTGTCCTCCTGGGGTTGACACACACTCCTGCTGCCCTTGAAGGGGCAGGCTGGGGAGTAGGGAGATGGCTTGGCATGCCTTCCTTCCCTCCATCTTCTTAACTCCTAGCTGTCCTTTAAAACTCAGCTCAGAGCACGTCTGCCCCGGGAAGCCTCTGATGCCCAGGCTGGGGAACTCCCCTCCTTGGGGCTCCTGGGGGCGTCCTGGCCTGGCCTCCCTACCTCTGTCTTGTGCCTCCTGACTGATGGTAAGCCTCTGTGGGATGGGACCCTAGAGAAGCCATTTCCTTGTCCCTGGGGCCTGCCCAGCCCAGCACAGGGCAGGTGGACATGGTCGTTTCTTCCTCAAGGATGCACTAGGCGGCGGTCATGAGCTCATGATTTCCGGAGCAGTGTGGAGTGCTGCCGGCCTGGTTCAGATCCCCGCTCTCCCACCTCCTGCCTTGGAGCCTCAGGCAAGGGTTTTCAGCTCCCTCAGCCTCACTGTGGCCTCTCGTGGGGTTGAAGTGAGACCATCCGTGTGAAATGCTCAGCACAGTCGCTGGCACACGCCCATTATCCCGATCACCAGTCCCACTTCCCCGCATCCCGGTGGTGGGGGTGGCTGCAGGGTCCCCACCTTCTCTCTGCATCCCAGTGCTAAAGGCAGCCCTCAGGGACCCCTCATTGGGCACCTCCGGAACACCTCCCAGCCTGCAGAATGAGACGACGCCCAAGCTTAAATTCTGAGTCCCTTGGGCCCAGAGTCCTCAATGGAATTTTTGAAGTGGCTTTTATTTAATAAAAGCCAAAGATGATTTTTATGCAGTAAAATATAACCTCAAGCCCCTCAAGGACCAGTAATGCGTTTCTATGGAGGGAGGTGGGAGGTTTTTATAATGACGCATCGATTGGCAGTCTCGCGGGGCCGAAATACCTGGTGAGGATGGGAGAGCTGGGCTGGTGGAGAGTGAGTGGGCTCTGGGGTGTCAGAACCCTGGGTTCGAGTTGCAATTCTGCACCCCCGGGCCATCGTGCCATCACTAATATTTGTTGAGGGTTTGCTGTGTGGTAGTACGGAGCCACGTGCTCCATGTCCCCGATGCCTGTAGTTTCTACGTCCGCTCTGGGAGGGAGCATGCATTCCCATTTTACTGACGAGGAGACTGAGGTTCAGAGAGGACCAGTTGCACTTTCAAAGCCACACAGCTGGGAGGTGGCTAAGGTTGGGTTTGAACCATGCAGGTGACCACTGCGTCCAAGACCTTCCAAGCTCTCAAACTCCTCAGAGTCTCGGTTTGTTCTTCTGTAAATTGGAAAAATAACCAACAAAGTTATTATGGGGGTTGTATGAAGTACCTGTGGAGCGGTCTGGCGCACAGTGGGTGCTCAGTGAATGTACTCATGTCTGTCTCTCCTGTGACAGCAGGGCCTGGTCCACTTCGTGGTATCCACGGGGCCCAGAGAGCGCCCAGCGAGGATGACGCTTTTCTCTCTGGGCCTCAGTTCCCACGGCTCCAAAGCAAGAGTAACAACATGTGCCTGGAGTGACGTTCTCTGGGTCCTGCCCTGGCAGTGGGTTTCCTTGAGCATCCACACTGTCTCCTGCACCCACCCCTGACGGGTTCTCATCTCTGGCTGTGCTGGGGGGGAGGTGGGGGTTGGGATGAAGGGTCCAGCGGTTGCTCTGGGTTCAAGGGGCTCCCACCGCTTCCCAGCTGAGGAGCCTTGGGCACGTCCCTCAGCCTCTCCCAGCCTCTGCCTCCTCCCCGGCAAAGCTGGAGTAAGGACCGTAGATCCTGTCTCTGGCTGTGAGTCCACCCAAGCCTCTGCCTCCTAGACCTGGCTCTAACTGCTGCCTCCTGGTTCTCCCCTGCAGGTGTTTCCAGCTGTGCACGGGGGCTGATTGGCGAGGGACTCACGTTCGAGAGCCTTGGATGCCGTAACAGCCTGTGGTGAGGGACTCTTGTGGTCTGAACTCATGTCTACAGGGGCCACCAGTGGGGGACCACTGACAAGGGTGGGGGCACTGGAGAATGTCATCACAGCTGTCCCCTGGGTTTTAGAAACATAGTTGGAACTGAGTCCACAGCACCATGCATCGCTCCTTCGTTGCACTGAGCATCATTGCGATTTTTCCATGATTTTAGGAATTCTTTAATGAATGCTCATCTCCCCCACTAGCCTATTATGAGAAGGGGAGGGTCCTAGACAGGGAGCAAAAGATGGTTATGAAGAGGAGAGACTCTGCAGCTGGGGTTTGACTTCTCAGCTCTATGACCTTGGGCAAGTGACGTAAGCTCTCTGTGCCTCAGTTTCTTCATCTGAAAAATGGGGTTCATAACCTAGCTACCCCAGTGAGTTATTGCCAGGAAGAGTTCCTATGTGTCAAGCCTTTAGAATAGTACCTGGTGTACACGAGGTGCTGGAGAGGGGTTTGCTATATAAATGAAATGGCAAAACAGGAAGTGGGTAAGCCACCAAACGGGCTTTGCTCAGAGCCAGGGAGGACGTTGTTGGTCTTTCTGGTGTTGGGCAAACTCTGAGAGACAGTTCCTATCAAGGGTCCCCTAACGACCCCTGTCTCCCCTCACAGAGGATGGAGAACGAGGATTACAACCTCTCCCTCACCTACGGTGACGACTACCTCGATGATTTGGAGCCCATCGTGGTTTTGGAGGAGTTCTCTCCGCTGGAAGGCAGGGTGGCCAGGATCTTTCTGGTGGTGGTCTACAGCATCGTCTGTTTCCTCGGCATCCTGGGCAACGGCTTGGTGATCGTCATTGCCACCTTCAAGATGAAGAAGACTGTGAACACCGTCTGGTTCCTCAACCTGGCCGTGGCGGATTTCTTGTTCAACGTCTTCCTCCCGATCCACATCATCTACGCCGCCATGGACTACCACTGGGTTTTTGGGACGGCCATGTGCAAGATCAGCAACTTCCTGCTCATCCACAACATGTACACCAGCGTCTTCCTGCTCACCATCATCAGCTTCGACCGCTGCATCTCTGTGCTCCTCCCCGTCTGGTCCCAGAACCACCGCAGCATCCGGCTGGCGTACACGGCCTGCGTGGTGATCTGGATCCTGGCTTTCTTCTTGAGTTCCCCATCCCTCGTCTTCCGGGACACAGCCCACCAGCACGGGAAAATATCCTGCTTCAACAACTTCAGCCTGTCAGCGGCCAGCTCTTCCCGGTTGCCCACTCACCACCCACTGAACCCTGTGGGGTTCAACCGGCACATGGTGGTGACCATCACTCGCTTCCTCTGCGGCTTTCTGGTCCCGGGCCTCATCATCACAGCCTGCTACTTCACCATCGTCTGCAAGCTGCGGCGCAACCGCCTGGCCAAGACCAAGAAGCCCTTCAAGATCGTCGTGACTATCATCATCACGTTCTTCCTCTGCTGGTGCCCTTACCACACGCTCTACCTCCTGGAGCTCCACCACGCCGCCGTGCCTGGCTCCGTCTTCAGCCTGGGGTTGCCCCTGGCCACTGCCATCGCCATAGCCAACAGCTGCATGAACCCCATTCTGTATGTCTTCATGGGTCAGGACTTCAAGAAGTTCAAGGTGGCTGTCTTCTCCCGCCTGGTCAATGCTCTGAGCGAGGACACAGGTCACTCCTCCTTTCACAGTCACAGGAGCTTTACCAAGATGTCCTCGATAAACGAGAGGTCCTCCGTGAATGAGAGGGAGACCAACATGCTTTGAGCCTCACTTGGGAAACCTCCAATGGACGCTCCCATCCTTGGAGGCCCCGGCCCAAAGCTATGCCTTCTCAGGACCACGAAGGACCCTCTTCAGCACCTAGCAGTGTCCACTGTATTTTGCTTGGGGGCGAATGGTGTTTTGAGCTGGGACTGCAGCGCTTGGAATCCCCTTCTTCCAGTGGCTTGGTGGACAGAGCGTGCCACGTGGCTCAGCCTCGGCTGAGCATCCCATGCTTCTTGGGAGACCAGCTTTGACTGATGCAAAGTAAAAAAGGGAGCATTCCCAGAAGCACTGCCATGAACTGGGATTGGCAAAGATAGCAGGATTAAGCTCTCTACCGTGTGCTTTCCAGGAATGACACAGACACTCTCCAAGGTCCACTCATGGTGGAGCCGAGGAGGTCAGAGCAAACCCAGTGTGATGTAGATCGCACCTCTCCCTCTGTACCTATCTCAATAGTCAGGTATCCTGCCACCCAAGCCACTCCTCTGGGTTAGGGCGTGTGGACTGCACAGGTTACCTGGGACAGGAAGGTGACCTGTGAGCCCGTGACCTCCGAGGACCACGGGTTTAGCTTTCAGAGGAGCTCGGAAGGCAGAGAACACATCCTAAGGGGCCGTGTGGGCTCTTTGTGAGGACGAGACAAGCCGGGCTGCATGAGGACTTGGGGTCTAAAGGAAGGAATGGAGAAAGAGAAGGAAAGAACATTCGAGGGTGCAGTGTGAAGCAGCGCACCCGGAGCACGGTGCTTCGGCCGGAGCTGCTTGGGGGGGTAAAGGGGGCCCAGCCCCTTGCCCCAGGCCCTGCTCTCACTTTGCATTTGTTACTTGGGGGCTGGGTCATGGCGGGCACCTTCACGAGCAGCCCCCGCTCCATCACAGGGACTCCCCCCTCCTCCCCATTCCACTGGCTCTGGCTGAAGTGCTCCGAATAAAACACTCCAGCCTTGCTGAAGATGAGCCCCAAATCAGCTTCAGGGAGCCACCTGGGAGCACCTCAAGGGCTGGAGAATGTCTGAGTGCTCAGTCACTGAACTTGAAGCAGAATCTGGAGCCTGACCCCTTGAACTGTGCTCCTGAGATGCTGGCTGCGGGGTGCCACAGGCACAGAGCCCCCCCACCCCATGTGCACCCATGTCCCTTTTCTCATCCAGGACAGACACCTTCTTGTGCTACAGAGCGTCATTGTCCCCTTTACCAACAACGAAGCTGAGGCTCAGAGGAGGGAAGTAACTTGCCCAACGTCACACAGCTAGCCAGAGGCAGACTTAAGATCTGAACCCATCTCTGTCTGGCCCCAGAAACTCTCTTCTTTTATGGAGACTGTATCTATTGAGAATGTTCCGGGCTGTAACGATAGCCTACATTATTTAGAACTTCCTATATTAAGCACGTTACATGTGTTATCTCATTTATTCCTCACTGCAACCCTGAGTTAGGTACAATTATGACTTCCTTTTTACATGGGAGGTATCTGGGGCTCAGAGAGATTAAGTAACTTGCCTGAGGGTGCCCAGCTGGTCTCTGCAAGAGCCTGGATTTGAAGCTAGGCCTGTCTGGCTCAAATAAAGCTGCGGACTTGGGGTTTTTCAAGAGGCTTGGGGTTTTGACCATAAATATTGATTCCTCAGCAGATTAACGTCAACATCTTAACGGCCTTTAAGTCAGTTTTGTAAATAGTTTTCAAAAATGTCCCAATGTAGCAAAGAAAGTGCACTTGGCCTCCTGCTCCCTTGACACCCATCCCCATGCACCCGCCACGGCTCCCATCTGCTGTACCCTCTGAGATTGCCAGGGAAGGCAGTGGGGAGAGAGGCCTGGCGGGAAGCACCCCACTGTGGGCCCCCGGCTCTTTGGCCACCAAGTGTACACATTCTGTTCTCTTCCAGTCCCTTCGCTGTGAAGCCAGCTCTCCAACAAGACTCAGTGAACAGATGTCATGTCTACACAGCGCCAGGCAGGGTCCCGAGGCCACGGGCTGTTTGGAATCACACCTCATTAAGAAACAAACTGTTCCTTCCTTCTTGGGGTCGTTGTGCTGGTGGCGAGGCAGCTCTGAGTTGGCCCCAAGTGGGGGCCTCCAGTTGCTTTAAGAAATCTGAACTCGGACAGTTTGCGAGCAAAAGGGGGGCTGTAAATCTCGCCCAGGGCCCCCCGTCATCCTCCTCCCAACTTCACAGGGGAAACAACGAAGGCACAAGAGGGCTTTTCCAGGTCCCAGACAGTCAACAGTCCTCATTCCCTGGGCCCCTTGCCCCCCGGGAGGGTGCTGTTTCCTTGGACTCAGTTCCTCCCTCCTTCCGGGCGGTGTGCAGGCCGGGCCAGGCTGGGGGAGCCAGGAATCATTTTGTCATCGGAAAAGCTGATGAACAGGAGCAAGATTTGAACCGGCTGTCTCCCTCCTCAGGGTCAGGCTCCCTCTCTGGCTGCCCGCCCCCGTCTTCCTGTTCTGACTGTAGCATCAGTCGCAGCTGTGACCTCCCCTGCCATCCTGTCCACACGGCCTCTCATGAGGGTCTCCACAGGCCACATGGACCGAGTCCCCACGTGTTCCCCTGCGTTGCTCTATGGCAGCCGACACGCTTTGTGACCGCCAGCCCTCCCTGTGGGGCCAGGACCCGGCCAGCCCGTGGGGTCTTAGTGCTGCCCCTGGGTGGGGCCGGTGGGCCAAGGGTGCAAGGGGAGGCGGGCAAAGGGACAGGAAGAGGAGACCCTGCTGCCTGAGCTCCCAGCTACTTCAGCCCTTGAGAGAAGGGAGAGAGAGGAAGAGGGGAGGCGGAGGGAGAGGAAGAGAAGGAGGAGGAAGAGGAGGGGGAGAGGGACTCAGAAGGGGAGCTACCCGGGCACCGGCCGAGGGAGGAGTTTGGCTTAAGCCTGACCCCAGACTCTGCTCTGGAAGGCTTAGGGGCCAGGATGGGTGGGAGAAGCTGGAGGCTGACAGTGGGAGCCACGAGGGCCCTTCAGACTCGCCCAGGCCTTTCCCCTCTTACATCTCGGGGAACTGAGGTTTCCAGGGCTGCCCTTGGAGAAATCTGCTCCAGGAGGTGGTGGTGGCTTGGACGGAAGTGGCCAGTGGTTCCCTGGCTCCCGCCACTGGCCTGCTTCTCCCGTCCAGCCCTAACATGCTCTGGCAGGAGCCGGGGTGCCCCGGGCTTGTGGTTGCCAAACCCTGGGTTTGGAAAATTGTTGCTGGCAGTGATATCCAGGACCAGAAGGAGCCAGGAAGACACTTGTCCTACTGTGAAATGATTTAGTAGGGGACTTGACTGCTTCCTCCCTTTGAGGACAAACTGTCTCTTAAATAAAAGAGACTGAAGCTAGTGTGGGGCTCAGTGCTGGGGTTCCTGCCACAAACTCTCCTGAAACATCCACCTCACGGAACAGCAGCAGAGGCTCAGAGCGGGGAAGGGACCTGTCCAAAGTCACACAGCCATGTTGTGAGACAGCAGGAGAAACCCTGAGATTCTCAACCTACCAGTCCCCCAATCTTGGACTTCCAGGAATCTATATTTTGAAAAATTTTCCTCCACTTATTTCATTTTCCTAGCGGCCAAGGATAGGAGACAGGTAGTGACTTACCCCAGATAACACAGCAAGTCATGAGAGATGGGAGACTGCAACCCAGGGCTCCTTACTCCAAAGTCCATGCTCTTGGACACCACATCAGCCACCCGAGGAGAATTGTTCCCATCCACACGTTCATCCCTCCATCCTTTCCCCACCACTTATTCACCCTAACACCCGCCCATCTATCCAAGCATCCATCCATGCATTTACACCAACATCCTTCTACCCATCCACCCACCCATTCACCCCAACATCCATCCACCCACCCACCCATCCATCCACTTATCTATTCACACATCCATGCAGCTACCCGTCTATCCACCCGTCATCCATTTACATAACCATCTCTATATCTACTTATTCATGCATTCCTTAAACATTTATTTAATACCTACTCTTTGCCAGGCCCCGTGGAAGGCACTGGGAATGCAGGGGTGACCAGAATATTCAGTCTCTGTCCTCATGAGTTCATCCATTGGCTAGTAGGAGAGACAGCCAATAATTTTAAAAAACACCCCCCAACGGGATAACAACTGCAGGAAGTGCTGCACACACATCACAGAGAGATCTGAGCCTGTCCAGAGGCCAAGGAACCTGCCTCGGGTGGGAGACACTTGAGATACGAAAGATGGGTAGGCCTGGATTCGGTGGGGATGGGGACGTGCGGGAGAGGGTGCTCCAGGTGGAGAGAACAGCATGGGCAGCAGTGTTGGTGTAGGAGGGAGCAGAGTGATTGCAAGGGTCAGAGAGGGCACTGGGGCTGCTGCAGAGTGAGGGGAATGAGCAGGGACCAAGAGGGTGGAGAGGAGGCCGGGCCAGACCATGGGAGGGCCTTCGCCTGAGATGAAGGGGAAGCCACATGCATTCGAGGGAGCGATGTGCTCAGACCTATATGTTGAAACAGGCCTGGGGCTGCTCTGGAGAGGAGAGGCCGAGGGGGCCGAGGGGGATGCTGGGAGGCTGCTGCAGCCTCCAGATGGGAGCCTGGGCTGGCAGAGCGAAGGCAGAGCTTGAGAGAAGTGGACTTTTTGGGGGATGTTTAAAGGCTGCCCAAGCTCTCTCAGGGGAGCAGTTAGTGGGAAACCAGCCCAGGGCCCATTGCGACTGCACAGAGGCCTCGGCGCGTTGCTTTATGGACGGAAATTAATTGTAAATATTATTCAAATTTGCCTTGCCATGCACAATTACATTTCTCGGGGGAGCCCTCTGAGCACATAATAAAGCCCCATTAATAATGCATATATTAACCTAAGAGGAGAGGAGGCCCAGTGATGCTGCCGTTGCGGGTGGGGGCTGTGGGGAATTTATGCACACGAGACTCCAAGTGCTTGCACTTGGGGTTCAACTTTGGAGGTCACCCGAGTTCTGTCCTGGAGGATCTTCCAGAAGTCTCTGCCCCCCGTATCCCCCTGGGCATGTCAGCTAGCCACTGCTCCAGAGGCCTTGTCCAAGGGCAGGTGGAGGCCAGGAGACAGCTGGTGAAGGCAGGGAGAAGCACGGGTCCATGAAACACTTCCCTGTGTGCTCAGAGCTTCAACAACAGCAACAACAATAATAGTAGGTAATCTTAACTGAGCATGTCCAAGGTTTGGGCACCCTCCAAGCACTTTACTATCTTATTGAGTCCTTACAACAGCCTTTGTGGTAGGGGAGTTAGTATCTCCACGTCCAGATGAGGAAATTGAGGTTCAGAGAGGTGAAGCAACTTGCCCAACGTCACACAGCTAGTCAATAACAGAGCCAGGATTTAAACCCCGGTCTCTCTGACTCTAAAGCAACTTGTAAATATAACGCATCCTTGATGAGGCTCGTTCCTGGGGAGCCAAGAGCAAGCCTGTGCTCTCTCTCTAGTGTCAGATTTCGAGGAGGTGGGAGTAGGGGGATCTGAGAGTATTGCTTTTTCCTTCGGAGGGAGGAAATGGTGTCTGGATGGGCTTGTCACTTCCTCCCGGCCCCAGGAATCTGAGGATTGTTGAGTGTGGAAGAGACTCTCCTTCATGACGTTCGTCCCTCCTATCCCCCCATTTTACAGATGGGGAAACTGAGGCTTCTTTGCAAATAGGGTTGGGATCTCCCACCTCACAGACTGCAGTGAGCTGTGTGCGAAAACACTCATCTGAGTCACTTTTAAAGCACCGTCATGCTAGAGACCTGGGCATTCATGCAGCTGTCCTCATCACTTTTCAGTTTGTTGACAAGGGCTTTGCTACTGGTCTGCCCTGAAGGACCCCTGCCCGGGAGCTGGGAGTCACTGGTGAGTTTCCAGCAGAATCCGGGCTGAAGGGGAGGCAGGAGATTTTGGAAAAACCTGCTATAGGGCAGAGGTGTGCTGTATTTGGGGCGTAAACTTTATCCTTCCAAATTGTCCTGGTTATGAGGAAGGGGTGCTCTCTGTCTTGATGTAGGTGGTGGTTACATGGCTGACTTTATGCGTAAAAACCCATTTATTTGCGCATATAAGATTCCTGCACTTTACTACAGTAAGTTATGCCTCAATAAAAGTATTTTTAAAAATAAAATAACTAATGGTGTCTTCAGGAATGACTTCCCGCTTCCTTTGGCACTCTGGACAGAACCAGGTCTGGGGGCTTCTGTCTGATTCAAAAGAGAAACTCAGAGGGAGGTGGTCCCGGCAGGATCCATCCAGAGAGGCAGCATCTGAGGACAGACTGAGCCCTCCCAGGGGTCATCCCGGCCGTGCCCCTGACTCAAAGGGCCTTTGATGGTTAAGACATAGGATCACCTGGGCTCAGGAGTCAGACTCCTTGGGCCTGAGTCCCAGGCCCCCTATTTACATCAGCTGGGGTTAGGGCTACGGTTAAAGCTCTATGACCTCGGGCAAGCTACTCAACATCTCTAAAGCCTCAGTTTCTCATCTGTAAAATGGGTAGCATAAGAACTTGCCGCTCACAGGGCTGCTGTGAGGATTGAATGAGATGCCACACGTAAGCGTTTAGCAGGTGCACATCTTTCATCTGGATGTACCTCAGCCTCCTCGCTGGTCTCCCCACTTCCA